TCTTCCTCTTGGGAGCCATCACCCAGAAAACATGGGCACTCAAATGTTCAGAATGTATGCATGAATTCCTGTTATTAGAGCAACATGAACCATAGACTCAATCAACAAATATTTCTAGATGTCCACTAAGTACACTGTAGAGGGGAAAATCAAATAACGTAGCAGAATGGTATTTTTCCCCACTTTCCCCTTCCCTCCTTCCTGGATGTAGGCCTTTGGAAATCAGACTGTGTTGACACAAATAATGTTTTCGAGATAGGCTTTAAGTAGCTATCGATATTAACAAGAGAAAGGTTTGTTTGTCTTAGGGGTGTTTTAAATTGTTAAACCAAAAAAAATACTTTCAATTCCATAGCTGAAAGTCTTTTAAAGAAAGGGTTTGCCATTGCTAGCAAAGGAGGAGGAGGAGGAGGAGGTGGAAGAGGAGGTTGGTCTTCAGGCATGGAATCTAAACCAGCAGCAGGCAGTTTTAAAAAGACATGTCCATCCCTGAGTTTTGCAAGCATTTTCATACACCACGTAGGAAGGAGAAAGATCTAAGCCTTGAAAGATGTAAGGATTTACATTAGCTCTAGACAAAGGGGCTGGGCTAGTTCTGGGGTGGGCTCAGCAGAGCCCAAAAGGAAGAAGTGTCCTCTCTTGTGGACTGGCTGTGGGCAGCAGATTGAAAAGTTCATGTGCAAATAAGCAGAGGCTCCTCAGGCTTACTGGTGCCCGGCTATTCTCCCTTTTGGATAACCTTGGAAATAGTCACCTGTAAATTAATCCTAAATTCCAACAGATATACAAGAATGTGAGTAGTCTTTTGTCAGAGCTGGTCCATGGCTATTAACAGGCTAACTGTTTTGTCTCTTTCTCTTACTCTCTGGCTGCTGTAATTTTAATGGAAAACATCTCAGAATTTTTTTCCTTGTCAATATCAATGGACTTCATGGATCCAAAGCCCCTTCCTGTGGCACATAGGACCCTACGGGCCACCCCAAGTCCATGGAGGGGAAAATCAGAGTGAACTGAGTGGGAGCCACAACAGGCGGAAAGCAGAGGAGTAAACAGACAGAAGGGACAGGAAGGAAGGTCTGAGGAGGGGCCCCCTGATCCTGCAGCAGCCCAGGACTGGGCTGACACAACTCAAAGGGAAAAGTAAAGAACCCCCCATCAGTTTCCACGTGTATGCATGACCATTTGTCAGTAGAAATTTCTTTCTGGTAATGAACTGCACTTTCACATGCTTTCTAACATATCAGGCCTAGTTAAAGTGTTACAAAAATATCACTCAATTCAACAAACATTTATAGGACACTCCCAGAGTGCCAGGCCCCATATAAGTTCAGGACACAAAAACAAATAATAAACAACCCCTGCCTTCAAAGACCCCCATCCAACTAGCTTCATGCTCGTTCTCTGCACTGCCCTCCCCTCTGCCCTCCACCAACCCAAATCCCACCCACCCCGTGAGACCCAGCCCAAGTTCCACCTGACCCAGGGTTCCTTGAGCTACTCTCAGACCACACTGAACTCCCGCCACTTGTGAAATTTGGTTCCACTAGAGAGGTTTTATGAAGTGTATGTCCTCTCCCTGGTTAGATTTGAGCCTCCTAAGGATAGGGACCATTGTTAGAATTTTTCAGAGAGAAACCACATCAGCAGTTTTTATCAGACCAAGCCCTAGCCTTCAACCAGAGAACCATCTCCACCACTTAGCACAGTGCCTGGCCCCCAGCAGACAATTTATAAACTTTGTAGTAGCAAAGACTATGATCAACTCTCCAACATGTCACTAGGCAGGGATAATCTGAAAATTGAGAAGGTAGGAATGATCAAACAAAAAATCGAAAAGGGTTTGACTCATGCCTTGCCTCTTCCCTCCTCTGAGGTGAAGCAAAGTCATACCGTCTCTTCTCCCTCCTGCTGGAGGCTTCCTTGTTCTCTTTCCCCTGGCCCCTGTAAGTGTCTCCCAGCATTCAAGCCTGGCCTCTCCTCTTTCTTTGAGCACATTTCCTAAAGTCTCTGAAATGACTCAAGGTAAATGCTAATGTGCTATAATCCTTAATGTTTACCCTAGGTAGTAGTAGTTCTTTTGCTTTAGGCTATTGTCAAACAAGGTTTGCAGCCAAGAGTCCAAGTGGCCTGGGCAAACACCTTCCCTTCTGTGGTTCCTGTTTCTCAAACCCTCTTGGGTCTGAAGTCCTGGGGGTCTTCAACCCAGTTCCCTCTCCTTTAGGCTGGAGGAACTAAGCTGCCTTCCTAATGAACAACAAGGAGGCCTGGTCTAACCCACCACTCCAGTGTTTCTGACAAGAGAGAATAGTCCCTGCTTCCCACCATATGTGAAATGGAGGAAACCGTAAACAAAGTGAGGACAGGGCAAGTTCCCAAGCACAACACACTATGGCTGACAGTGGACCAAGGATGGGGCGGGAGCACACCGAAGGGGAACAGACCGTGCCATCCTCTCTTCAGCCAACCCTGAGTACAACCAAACGCCGCTTTTCGAACATCTACCGCCTCGAAAAATCCTGTTCTCAACCAAGTTCTTCACAGAAAAAAAGTCTTGGTTTTCAGACAAAACTTTGGTTCTTGGCCCAACAACCCTTTCATGCTGATACTGTATGATCAGTCATGAGTCTCTCAGGAAACAAAGGATAAATGAGCAAGTATGAGTCAGTTTACCGCTAAACCTCATGTTAACATCTCAGAAAATTAGCTGTGAATATATTCTCATGGTTTTTTTGTTTTGCTTTTGTTGCTGCTTGTTATTACAAAATATGTACAATAAGTCACCATGGGTCCAAAGAAGGTGAGTGAGAGCAGCAAGGTGAAAAGGAGAGTTGTGAGAACACAATAGAACTTTTAAAAGAAATAATTGCAAAGTATGATAGAGGTGTTCACGTGTCTGATCTGGCCATCGAGTATGGGGTGGCAAAATCCATGATTAGCACAATTTTAAAACATACACAGGCCCCCAAGAGTGCTGGTGTTACTGAGGGTGTGAAAGTGCTCAGGAAACAATCACGGGCAACTGAAGAGGTAGGAAAATTATTGTTTATGTGGATAAACAAAAGGCAATTAGCCAGGGATAGCATTTCGGAGACAATGATATGTGAAACAGCGCAGATGCTGCATGTTGACCTCCTGAAAGACCTCCCTGGACTGAGTGCTGAGAGTGATTCATTTAAGGCTAGCATGGGGTGGTTTGATCAATTTAAGGAGAGAAGTGGCATTCATAGAGTACCGAGGCATGGGGAGGCTACTAGTTTTAAGAAGTAGCCTCTGATAATTTCATGACAGAATTTCAAGAACACACAGAGACTAAGGAATCTGTTGCCCAACAAGTGTTCAGCTGTGACGAGACAGGCCTCTTCTGGAAGAAATGGCCAAAGAGGACCTAGATCACACAGGAGGAGAAGTCACTGCTAGAACAGAAGCCAGTGAGGGACAAGCTGACACTGCTGTGAGGGAATGCGAGTGGGGACTTTAAATTGAAGCCTCTACTCATCCACCATTATGAAAACCCATGAGTTATCAAGAAAAACAATGTTATAGGAAAAAAAAAAAAAAAAAACATGAATGGGAGGTGGAGGGTGAATAGCAAAGGTTGGGTAAGCAGGAAATTTTTTATTGAGTGGATTCATGAAATGTTTGCTCCAAGTGTGAAGAAATACCTCCAGGAAAAACAATTATCATTCAGGGCACTTCCTGTAATGGGCAGTGCTCCTGCCCACCCTCTGGGCTGGGAGGCCCATTTGGCACAGGAGTACTGCTTCATCACTGCTAGGTCCTGCCACCTAACACAACTCCTCTCAGCCAGCCCAGGGACCAGCAGGCCATTTCTAATTTTAAGAAGCTCTACACAAAGGCACTGTGTCAGAGATGTTTTGAGGTGACCTCTGAAACTACTTTAACCCTGAGGGAGTTCTGTAAGGAACGCTTTCATATCCTCACTTGCTTGAGACCCACAGACAAGGCACAGGGGGAAGTGTCTTCCAGGACCAGGCAATCAGCCTGGGAGAAAGTGTGGCCTGAGTCTGTTGCTGAAAGAGAATCTGAGGGCTTTGAGGATGAGCCTGTGTCTGTTGTGGAGGACACTGTGTCTCTGGGCATGTCCACAGCCTTGGAGGTGGATGGTGATGATGTGGAGGAGTTGGTGGAGGCCCACAGCACTGAGCTGAGCACCGAGGAGCTCCCAGACTTGCAGACAGAACAGCAACAGACAGCTGAGGGGCTCTCTTCAGAGGAGGAGGGAGGGGGGATATTCCAGGAAATGCTTGGGAAACAGGGAGAAATGCAAAGTGTTACTGAAAAGTGTCACCCTGATAAAGAAGTAGTAAACCATGCAAAAAACAAGTTGTAGTGGAACAAAGAGACAAAAGAAAGGACCCCAGAGGAACAGCTACCTGATGTTTTTATGGAGGGGACTCTTCTTCCAAACAATAACATCCCTCCATCCCTCCTTCCCTCCCCTCCATATTCAATCATCAAAATTCTCAATGTTAAAGGTAAGTTCTAGTATGTATGTAAACTTTCATTTTTTACTGTATATTTCCTTTTTGTTAAATTTTCATTTACTTTTCATGTCCTTTCCATTTTTAAAGGGTTTATCTATAAACAGTACATTAGGCAAGTGCTGTGTATAAGAAAGACCCCCATTTGGGGAGTCTGGAATGGATTAATTCAATTTACATTATTTCTAATTGGAAAAAAATGATTCGGTTTTCAAACAAATCAGTTCTCAAATAGCCTTGTGGAACAAATTAAGTTCAAGAATTGAGGTTCTACTGTACTCACTTTCCTGCCAGATATTATACTACAAGAGTCACTGAAAGGTATAAGGAAATTCAAAGGAATTAAAAGGTTTGAGGAAGAAATCATAATACACTGTGGGGGAAGGAGGTGGGAAGGAGAAGGGGAGGGCATGAATATTGCTGGCAAGTTATCAGTTACTTCTTATGTTCTTAAGAATGCTTCACGTCTATTGCTTGGCCAGTTTTACCTCCAGATTCCCGTAAAGCACATGGTGCAACCTCTTACCTAACGAGACCAGCGTCACTTAGCTGCTCACCCTCTAAGGGGAACACTGACCTGGAATTAAAGTGCAAACCACCAACCCATATACAGTGGCCTGAGACATCCCAAGAAGCCCAGAGCCTCCACCTGGGGACCTTCCACAACCTCTGCAAGCGACTTACAGCAGCATCAACATTCACAATGAAAGTTCTAATCTCTTCTCTCCTTCTGTTGTTGCTACTAATGCCGACGTCTGTGGTCTCTAGCAACACAAATCCAGGTAAATAAGATTAATTTCTGGGTTTTTTTAAAGATTTTATTTATTTACTTTTAGAGAGAGGGAAAGGGAGGGAGAAAGAGAGGGAGAGAAACATCAATGGGTGAGAGATACATTGATTGGTTGCCTCTTTCGCATCTCTAACCTGGGGCCTGGCCCAAAACCCAGGCATGCGCCCTGACTGGGAATCAAACCAGCTATAGCTTTTGGCGTGCAGGCTGGTGCTCAAGGCTGGTGAGCCATACCTGCCAGGGCAGATTGGTTTTCTACAAAAGGGAAAAGGAAGTTGGGGATGGGGGGAGAATGTAGCAAAACAGGAAAGAAAATGTGGCCCCCCCTCAAAAAATACATTAAAATGTAGCTCCTTTTAGCTACAGGTATTTGGGGTAAGCTAACCTATCTCAATGCCCATTTCCTCTTTGACAAAAGGGAGAAACTGTACTTCCATATAAAGTCTGTTGTGAGAGTCAAATGAGATAGCATATATGAAAATTTAGGGGGAAACTTTATGAAACAGTAGCTGGAAAGGAAACAGTGAAAAAAATGGGCTCAATTGCTCCCTTACTTCTCCCCAAACCCCTTTTCCAGAAGAGTAATGATTTTCCCCAAGGTCAATCTTGGTGGTAGTGGTATAAGAGTGTTGCGAGCAATTGTATATTTGCAGAAAATAAGGAAGTCCTTGTTTATATTCTTTTTTTTAACCCTCACCCGAGGATATGTTCATTGATTTTAGATAGAAAGAAAGGAAGGGCACAGGAGAGAGAGAAAAACATCAATGTGAGAGAAAAACATCGACTGGTTGCCTCCCATACGCATCTCCGCCAGGGACTGAACTCGCAACCTTTGGTGTACGCAACAATGCTCCAACCACCTAAGCCACCTGAGCCACCCAGTCAGGGCTGCTTATATTCTTTATAGTGTACAGACATTCCACCAACAATTTTAATTCTATTTAATGGCAAAGCAATAAACTAGAAAAATCATACCACCAGATAGTATCCATATTTGAAGCATTAGCCACACCAACTCCTGTTTTAACAGCTAACCTTTTGGGAAGCAGACCCTTGGTTAGGGTTTTTGAGTCAGCTCCAGTGGCCTAGCCCTTAGCAGAACAAACATGCAGAAGAGAGTTCATCGCCATGAATGTTTCTGCTTGAGAAAACCATCTTCCCAAGGACTACTTTGAGGTAAAACAGCTTTGTTACATAGTCAGAATGAACTCAGTCCTAAAACCAGGAGTGCACTCTACCCTGCCCCCATTTCAAACCTCTTCCTTGTACAGAGAGCTTTAGAAGCCATGCATGTTTCTGGAGACTGTTGGGCCCCATGGCCAAGCCCACCATTCTGGAAGAGAAAGGTTTTCCATCACTAGAACAGACACCAGGCTAGAGTCCTTAATCTAGAGTCAAAGCTCTAGCCACAACCTGCCTTTCCAGTCCACTTCCCTCCACTCACTAACCAATGCTCCAGGCTCCACCTAAACTAAGTGGGAAAAGGTCTTGTGCTTTTCCAGCAGCTCAGCTTTGCTCATACACCCAGCTCCAAAACCACCTCCTCTCCACAGACTCCCATGATTCCTCCCTTGTCTAGAAGTGAGCTCCACCTCCTGGGAACATGCTTAGACCTAAACTGACTGTCTCTTTTGCACTTATCATATTCTGCCGTACACTGAAGGTGTTGGTCTGCCTCTCCTGCCTTTACCTCCCACGCTTCTAGGCCTGTAACCTCTTCGATGGCACAATCTGGCTTATTGTTTCCATATCCCTCACACTATCCAGCACAGTACTCAGTAAATATTTGCTAAGTGAAAAAATAAACCCTCAAGTGCCCTTGACGACTCTACATTGAGGTCTGATAGCAGCTCTGTTAACATTTGGGACTGACAATTCTCTGTTGTAGGAGGTTATTCTGTGCATTTTAAGCTGTTTAGCAGCATCCCTGTAGCCTCTACCCACTAGATGCCAGTAGTAGCCTCCCCACCCCTTAAGATAGCCAAAAATGTCTCCAGACATTGCCAAATGGCCCCTGAAGGGGGAAACCACTCCCCAGCCGGGAACCAACAACTTCTCCATAGGAACAGTTCTCAAACCTGCTCCACATTTAGACTTACCTAGACCTTCAGCCTTGAAGCCAGGGGAATCTAGATCCAAATCCTGGCTTTCCCACTTACTTTGCAACCCTGGACAGTTGCTTCCCTTTCTTGAACTTCAGTTTTATCATATTTAAATGAATAAAATGCCAGTTAGTAAATACAATTTTTGTGAAGATTAACTTATTTATAGTGTGTATCTAGTAAGAGGTGAATAAATGGACGGAGTAAAATTTCTAAAGTAGCTTCTAAGGCACAAGGGCAATGAATCAGGAAAGCTCACTGTGCTGCCGGGTAATGCCATTACAAACCACATCAGATGGCAGGGGGCCAGGCTCAAGGCTTGTTTCCCAGCTAAGCGTAGTATTGCAACACCAGGTTAAGTCTGGCTAGAGGAAATGACGCCCCACCATCACCCCAAAAAATTCTCAGAGTAAAACCTCTTTACCTCTTTAAAAAACCACATATATGCACAATATGCTCTTCACAGGAGAGAAAAGGAAAAGAGAAGTGAGAATATAGAAAATGTTAGGAAACAAATTACCTATAATAATAGTCTGCTCATTACTTATAATACTACTTATTAATTATAAAGCTACTTATAATAGTAGCTGACATGTGTTAAGCACTCCTATGTGGCAGGCACTGTTCTGAGCACTTCACACATATTACCTCACTGCGTCCTCACAAAAATCAAATGTACTTTTTTAATCTTTAACTTTTCACTTTTCACACTTTCAAAAATGTAAAAATAATCAGAGTTCCGCCCTGGCCAGGTGGCTCAGTTGGCTGGAGCGTCATCCCGTACATCAAAGGGTTGCAGGTTTGATTCCTAGTCAGGGCAAATACCTAGGTTACAGGTTTAATCCCCTGTCAGGGTGCATATGGGAGGCAAACAACTGATGTTTCTCTCTCTCTCTCTCTCTCTCTCTCTCTCTCAAAAATTAAAACATATCCTCAGGTGAGGATTTTTTTTTAAGTTTTTAAAAATAATAGAGTTCCAGTATATCCCTCATTCTGTTTTTTCCACAAATAACATCTGACATAACCCTACTATGATGACACAATACTATTAACTAATGTACAAATATTCAAATTTTTCTAATCATCCCATTAATGTCCTTTTCCTGGTCCAGAATCCACTCCAGGATCCTAAAGTTATCGTGTCTCCTTGGTCTCCTCCAACCTAGAGTATTTTTTCAGTTTTCCTTGTCTTTCATGACCTTGACACTTTTGAAGGCTACTAGTCAGATATTCTGAAGAGTACTAATCAGATACTTTGTAGAACTTCCCTCAATTTGGATTTGTCTGATGTTTACTCATAATTAAGTTCAGATTTTGCATTTTTGGCAAGAACACCACAAAAGCAATGTATGCCTTCTCAGTACCTCACATCAGAAGGCCCGTGATATTAATATCCCTCATTACTGCTGATGTTAACTTTGAATACTCGGTTAAGGTGGTGTCTGCCAGGTTTATCTACTACAAATTTGCTATTTTCCCAGTGCAATGTGATGCGGTTTCATAAGTATCTTGTGAAAGGATACTGTGAGACTATGCAAATAGCCTGTTTCTTTTCATCATACTTTTGCCCATTAATTTTTAAAATCCATTGATAATTCCACACTGGCTGGTATAGCTCAGTGGATGGAGTGCTGGCCTGAAAACCAAAGGGTTGCAAGTTCAATTCCCAGTCAGGGCACTTTCCTGGGCTGCAGGCCAGGCCCCCAGTAAGGGGCATGTGAGAGGCAACCACACATTGATGATTCTCTGCCTCTCTTTCTCCCTCCCTTTCCCTCTCTCTAAAAATAAATTTAAAAAATAAAATCCATTAATAATTCCTGCCTACAAATATTTCTGTGGCATTAGTCAAATGGTGATTTTCTATTTCCATCATTCCTTCTATGTTTATTAACTGAAATTCTACTTTAAGAAATAATTGTTCCTTCTCACCCATTTACTTATTCAATATTTATTAATATAAGTAAAGACTCCTGAATATGAATGGATTATAACCCATTACTATCATTTTTTATTATGTTGTTCATATTGTCCCAAAATTGGCCATTGAGAGCTCCTATAAGTTAGTTTCTGTGCCTTTTTAACATTTTTTAGCAATTCTGACACCACAAGATGTTGAGGCTTATTTTGTACTTTTCCTGCCCCAGGTTGGAGCCTTTGTTTCTTTTATGGGAGAATGGTCTTAGGTACTTATTGCCCATTGCTTCTATGTGCTAGTTGTCCTAGGCCCTCTAGTGGACAGAGATCAGAAATATATGCATGATGCACACACGTACGCACTACTAGTCCCATTCTACATATTAGGTAAGTGAGGCACAGAAAAGTTGAGCAACTTGTCCAAAATTGCAGTCAATATGTGGTGGAATTGGGAAATTGAAGTAATGATAGAACTACCATGAGTCCTAACAAGTGGAAGTAACTTCTTTACACATACAAGTTAGCAAAATCCAACAAGCCTAAAATTCCAGCATAGACATTCTCTTTGGGAAATAACTAGAAGTCAGCCATTACAACTACAATAAAAACCATCATGTATTGAACACCTGCTTGGACACTGGGCACCCACAATATCTCATTTATTGCTAACAACTCTACAAGGTGGATACTCCTATATTCGTTTTACAGATAAGAGAACCAACAATCAAAGAAGCTAAGTGACTTATCTAAGACTACATAGTTAAGTGGCAGAGCAAGCAGTTAATCCCAGGTCTGTCTGGATATAAAGTCCATGCTTACTCCACTGTGTCAGTATTTCCCAAAACTGAGTTTAGGTGGAACAGAAAGTAGTGTTTACTTTAATAGTTATATGTTTGTTTTTATGCATGTTAGGAAAAAATCTAAGCATGTAATCAAACCCATAATCTCACAAATAATATTATACATGATAAGGCTGTTTTAAGGAAATTAAATGTAAAGGAAAAGTATGAAGTAAACAATAGTAGAGGTGGTACAAGCAATAGCAAAAATCACAGCGGCATCTTCAGTCACGCCGTAACATTAGGGTCATGTAGAGCTGCAGGAAGTACAACTCTTGGACCTGAGTTTTAGCTCTAGGTGTGTCCCTATTACCTTTATGGACTTGGCTTTTTCATTTGCTCTCTCTGGGCCTCAGTTTCCTCATCTGAAAAATAAGAGATGGTGATTTAGTTAATTAGTACAACCATTTTAAAAGCAATTTAATAATAACATCAAGAAACATAGAACTGTCCTTAACTTTTGACCCAGAAGTTCCATTTTAGGAAATTTTGCCCCAGACAATAATACAAAATTTGGAAAACAGTTACAAGCACACAGAAATTTATCACTGTCCAAAAATAAAGCAATCTAAATAGTCAGCTCTGGGAGAACAGTTAAATAAGTTGGAGCATATACTTGTTGGGAGTGTTGTGCCATCATCAAAAATGAAGATGACATTGCAACCTGCTTATAAAGTAAACAAAGAGAAATTTGTTCACATACTGTGGTTATCACTATATAAAGAAAAGTATATGCAGAAACATGCCAAAATACCAACAGTTGGTAAGAATGAAGATTTCTTCACTGTTACTTTCCAGTTCCTCTGGCTCTAATATTCTGGGGCTTTTCCCTGGAACAAGGAGAAGTCAGGTGAGAATAAAATATTAGAAAAGTTTAGATGCCAGGGGCTATGCCTGTTTAAGTTACTTTAACAGCTCTCAAAACAGCACATGAAAACATTTAGAAACTAGAACTTGAGGAAATGAAGCAACGCCCTCCATCTGTGTGGGAGAAAGGGCACAAGTCTGGGAAACAGGAGACCTGCACTGAACCACAAGATCTCTAAGGGGCCCCCTCTATACAACTCATCTGTCCACTTATTGAACAAATATTTACCAAGTGCCTAACGTGTGTCAAGAACCACACAGCTGAATGACTACTGGCTCAGAGTCTAGAAGGGAAAAAGATTTTTGGTTTGCTAGGGCTGCCATAACAAAATATTACAGACTTGGTGACTTAAACAACAGAAATTTACTTTCTCACAGTTCTAGAAGTTAGAAGTCCAAGATCAATGTGTTGACAAGTTTGGTTTCTTTTGAGGCCTCTCTTCTAGGCTTGCAGATGAACCCCTTCTTGGTCATTCCTCTGTTTCATACACCCCTAGTGTTTCTTTGTGTATTCGAATCTCTTCTTCATATAATGACTCCAATCAGATTGGGTTAGGGCCAACCATGGCAGCCTCATTTTAATTCAGTCACCCCTTTAATGGCCCTAACTCCAAATACAGCCATTCTAAGGTACTGAGGGTTAGGATTTCAACGTGAATTTTGGAAGGGACACAATTCAGTCCATAACAGATTTCAAACAACAAATTATAATTGTGTAATAGTGGGGCTGCATTCAAATATGATGGGGATTCATGTGAAGGCACAATTAATTCTGACAGGAAAATCAGAAACTACTTCTAGGTCCAGAACCTCAAGTCTATATATAAACCAACATCCTTGATTGTCACAAAAATATTTTAGGTGTCACAAAATGGAAATAAGACAGCATCAGGTGATAAGGCATACCTAAATACAGGCCAAAACAGGAATGGCTTCTGTTCCAGAGGAGCAAAGGTAAATACCATCCTTTTACAGTTGAACCGGGATTAGGGATTAAAATACAGCAGACTTGGAGGTCAGTGAAGACTGTGACGGGTTTATGAAGATTATGCTCCTTGTTCTCATTCCTTAAGTTATGAGGATTTTAATTATGTGTGCGTTGGGGGGTAAGGTCTTTATTAAACCCCACCTTCTGTCCTCTCTTCCATCCAGAAGCCATCTTTCTCCACCAACCTCCAGGTAAGCTTTTCTCTAGGCTGGATTTTCAACCTTAATTCCTTATCCATTTAAAATACTCCTCTCGAGTACTTGCGTTAAAATACTCCTAGATCCCTGAGGAAAAAAGGAAGAGAAATGGAACTGTGCTAACCTAGATATCACAATGCTGGAGACCATTTCTGTTCGCCCCTTCCCCTTCCAGTGCCTGGAAGTGAACTGTTTCCTCCCAACAGGGGTAGCCAGAGGCCAGAGGGACCAACGCCAGGCTTCTGGGAGGTGGCTCCAGGAAGGCGGCCAAGAATGTGAATGCAAAGGTCAGTAACTCAGTACCAACAACAGCGCCATCGATACCCCAGCTCTCTCCCTTGAGTCCCTGAGATCAGTGGAGGAGAAGTTATCTGAGCTGACTCACCCAATCCCCTCTCCACCAGTCCACCACATGCACCACCAACACTAGTTTTCTTCCTGAGTCTCCTGCAAGGGCTGGACCCCTCCAGGGAAGAGCTAGCTAAATCTCTGCTGCCTCTTCCCTCTCACTTTTTCTCTAAGAATCCACGGCTGCCTTCCAAAAGCTTGCTGGATCTCACTCTCAACCTTACTTTGTTCACAAATAAAACTAAAATCAGACAGGCAAAATGGCTTGCCCCACATAAAGCAACTACTGGAAGGATGGCATCTAGGTCTTGCTTCTCATTTTCTGGTCTCCCTAATGATATATTGCTGCCCTCTCCACGCCTGCCACCAAATTCTTGCCAACACAGGTCAGGAAAAACTGCTCAGAAATATACAGATATCATTTCCCCATCCCATTGCAGTATGAAAAAGCAAAGAAGAGAGCAAGCAAAACCCCACCCTACTTCCAACTCTCAAACACATTAACCCTCCCACCTAAGCAGCAACCCTGTTATTTCAGATTGGTTACTGAGAGCTCCTAAAAGAAGACTCATGGCAGCGCCCAGGCTGCCAAAGAAGCAGTGTCCCTGTGATCATTTCAAGGGCAATGTGAAGAAAACCAGTAAGTTTCAAAAGAATGACCTTCCTTAAACCAGAGTCACTCAGTGGGATCAACTAGGGATGAAGTAGGGGTTGAGAAGAGACAATAGAGATGAAATGAAGACCAGGATAAACATCTGAGTCCTCTCTACCCATGTGGGGAAAGAGGAAGAGGAAGAAAAGCAGGATATAATTCTCCTAAAACTAGAATGGTTTAACCAAACTTGTAGACTTCGGAGCTCCACTGTGGAGGGAGATGCGGCTGTTGGGGACCTGGTCATTGACCTCTGAAAATGACACATCAATGTCAAACAGAACTTTTTTTTTGAGGGGCAGATGGAATTTATTGTATTTTTTTCCATTACCATTTGTCCCCCTTACAAACAGAATTTGATTCCTCCTTAGACCAGCAGGTTTTTTTAATTGATTGATTGATTGGTTTTAAGAGAGAGAGGAAGGGGGAGAGAAGAGGAAGAGAGAAAGAAACATCAATTTGTTGTTCCTTTCATTTATGTATTCATTGGTTGATTCTTATATGTGCCCTGACCAAGGATGGAACTGCAACCTTGGCACATGAGACAATGCTCTAAGTGACTGAGCTACCTGGCTAGGGCCTAGTCTAGCAGTTTTTAAATGTCATATAAAATTACTCTTGTAAGCCTTGACTGCTGTGGCTCAGTGGGTTGGGCATCATCTCACAAAGCAAAAGGCTGCCAGTTTGATTCAGGGTCAGGTCACATGCCTGGGTTGCAGGCTGCATGAGAGGCAATAGATTGATGTTTCTCTCACACATCAATGTTCCTCTCCCTCTCTTTCTCCCCTACCCTTTCCCATCTCTCTAAAAATAAATAAAATTTTTTTTAAAAAGTAAATTGGTAAATGTTAAGCTGATTGATATTATCATATTATCAAGAATGAGATAAATTGGGCCCCTGGCCAGGTAGCTCAGTTGGTTAGAGCATCATCTTGATACACCAAGGTGTTTCCCAGCCAGGACACATACCTGGGTTCGGGTTTGATTCCCGGTCCAGGTCCAGGGACGTTAAGATCCCTAGTTTAGGCACATTCAGGAGGCAGCCAATTGATGTTTCTCTCTCACATCGCTGTTTCTCTCCCTCCCTTTCTCTCTCCCTTCCTCTCTAAAAAGCAATGAAAAAAAATGTCCTTGGGTAAGGATAAAAAAAATAGGTAAAATTAAACTGAATTACTTAGGAATAGATAAGCAAGTGGTAAAACAATAAAGGAAAAAGTAAATATTTCCTATAAAAGTCAGGGAGAGAGGGAGGATAGTGATCAGAAAAGGAGGGAGTTGCTGACAATATTCTATTCTTAGGCCTGGGGAGCAGGTTCATGAACATCTGCTCTATGACTATTTATTGAACTGCACATATGAGTTTTGATGGCCCTCTATAGATGTATATAATATTTTTCAATAATAAAAGATTTGTTAAAGGTGCAGAGCAAAACAATATGTATAGTATCATTTTTATTTTTTAAAGTAAACTTAATAATTTACATACAAAAAGATATGGACGACTATATAGTAAACTATTACCAGTAGTTTGTTCTGGGGAATGGGGAGTGGAGTTTGAGGGGCCTGTACTTTTATATTTTTTTACTGGATATATTTTATTTTAATTTTTTCCACTGGGCAAATCTTACTATTATAATTTTAAAAGTTCTCATAAAAATTAAATTTAAAAAATTTTAACATCAGTCTTTCCCCTTTATTTTCACCATAGGGCACCGAAGGCACCACCGGAAGTCAAACAAGCACTTCAGAGCCTGCCAGGAATTTATCAAACGTTGTCAGCTAGCAAGCTTTGCTCTGCCTCTATAGGAACTGCAAGAGCCCACTCTCCCAATGAAACATCCTGAGTCAAGAAGGCAAGCAGCATACCTAGAGAATGTTCTTCTCCCACCTCAAGCTCCTTCTCCTTGTCCCTACTTCCTAAATCATTCCTAAATCATTCTCAAAAAGCTAGTTTCCCAAGATTATTTTGATTATTGCTCCCTCTAGTGCTTTCCCTTGGTCAGCCTTGTCCCATGCCCTCTCGTTCCCCAGGCTTAATTTAAGTCTAATTACCTGAAAGACACCGGGAAACCCTCACTTCCTAGTGGTTCCACCTGACCTTAAATACAACCAGACAAGTAGGAAAAAGAAGTCAGTAACTATTATTAAATATAATCAAAATAATTTCTTTCAAATGGGGTCTGGCAACTCACATTCAACCCAGATGACCCACTTTACCCTGTTCATTCCAAACTCAACCCAGATTCCACATTTACACATACATATCTCTCTCTCTATCTCTCTCTCTTATTCTCTCCTGCCCAACTTTGTATTCTTTTACTCTTTCAACAAACCTTTCTGAGGTAAGAGCCAAATGGGGCAAATAAAGCAGGTATAGCAATGAATTAGACATGGTCTTCTTAAAGATAATATATGTTTAAAAAAACTGGTCATTTCCTAGCATGTAGAATACCTTTAGGATTTATGATTGTTATTATCATTATCAAGGGTCATTGTATTCTGCGAGTTTACAAACTAGTACAGAAGACATAGTATATGCAGAACCATAGGTCCAGGGCTAAAGAAATGATATGGAAGATCTCAAATGCCATTGAAGAGGGCTTCGAGCTGTTAAAAAACAAAAAAATGGAAGTGAGCCCTGGCTGGTGTGGCAAAGTGGATTAAGCACCAGCTTGCGAACCAAAAGGTTGCTGGTTCAATTCCCAGTCAGAGCACATGCCTGAGTTGCGGCCAGGTTCCCAGTTGGGAACATGTGAGAGGCAACTGATCACTGTATATCTCACACAGTGATGTTTCTTTCCCTCCCTTTCTCCACCCCTTCCCCTCTCTCTAAAAGTAAATAAATAAAATCTTTTTAAAAATGGAAGTTAAATTATAAAGCAATAATATAAGGTAATTAAACTGGCAACAATTTGAAAAAATTAATAAAGAAAAGATTATTACAACAGTATAGAGACTGCCTTCCCCTCAGATCCTTCCTTCAAACCTCAGAAGAGGAGGAAAGGAAGGGAAAAAAAATGGAACACTCATCCAGAATCTGGCTTCTCTCATCCCAGAGGACTAAGTTGGGGTGCTGCCTTGTTTAAAAAAAAAAATATTTTAATTGAGTGGTGAGTCGGGTGGGGCCCTATTTATGACACAAGAAGGCAAGCCCCTCCCCTCTGGTAGAAGAGTGGTTGTCACAGCCTCCTCCTGTTTCTAATCCATCCTCCCACAGTTGGAGGCATAGTAGAGCCTCACTTGGCACAGGCGTGGGGGCCACCGGTGGTCAGCCCACTTGTCAACTTCTTTAAAAAGACCAGGAATGCCAAGGTAAAGGAGTGGAACCCAAGAGAAGGTGCCATCATGAAGAATGAATGAGGCATCCGTGACAAAAGAGGCCTGGGTGGGAGGCCAAAAGAATGAAGCCTGGGAGATCAACATCTCCCATGAGGGAAATAACAGTGGGGGCAGGCTCTCAGTCAGTATCTAGGCCTGGCTGGGAACCTGAGCCACCCCAGACACCTGTCACCCACCCAGAGCCTGGTCCAGAAAAGACACTCACAGCACAGCCAGCATCTAAGACCCAGCAGGAACCCAGTACCCAACAGGAGCCTGCTTCCCAGCAAAGACCCCTCACTCAGCAGGAGTCCCTTGCCCAACATGAAGCTGAATCCCAGCAGGAAACGAGAGCCCAACAAAAATCTGCTTTACAGCAGGAACTTCTTGCCCCCCAGGAGCCTGTACCACAGCAATCACCTCTCATCCAAAGGGTGCTCTTCACTCAACAAGAAGCTGCCTCACAGCAGGCAGCTGGGCCAGAAAAAGAATCTAGAACTCAACAGGAGTCAGAATTGGGAGGCGGACATATAGCCCAGCCAGGACCTCTAGCTCAACAAGAGGCTGAATCAACACCTCTGGCCCAAACTGAACCTATATCCCAAGAGAAACCAGGACAGTCAGACACTATAGCCCAGCCAACAGCTACAGCCAAATCCCAACAGGGATCTTTGATTGAGTGGGGGTTTCCATCAAAACTTCACAAACTATCCATACAACAACCGGCCTCAGAGTGGAAGAAGACATTTCTTAAGTGGGCCACAGATGTTGACTCAGAATCAGATTCGGGGTATCCATATGAGACCGATTTAGCAGCCATGAGGGGTGGAACAGTGACCCATGAGATGAAGCTGGACTTCAACGGGAAACCTGGTTATGAAGTGATGTCAGGACGGGGCGGGACATCAGCCCAAGGAAAGAAAACCAGCAACTACTGGGGCACAGGTAAGTTGAGCCTGAAGGAAAAGTCTCCCAGGGACGGTTATTTATTAAGTACTGAGAGATACCAGCATGTCAGGTTAGCTCAGGTGATCTCTCAACAGTCCTGCTAAACGAGGATCAACAGCCCTATTTGATAGATGAGGAAGCTGAGATCTTGAGATATAAAGGATCTGACAGGAGGGCAGTAGGGAGTGGCCAGTCCAGGATCCACAGCCAAGGTCTGACTTCTTCACAGGAGCCACGGTGTCTCCCTTCGAAGGATTTGGGGTAAATCAAAGAGCGAAAGGACTCTGAGCTAGGGGCCAGAACACCGCGGAATCCACCTCCCTGCCACTATTCATCTTTCCCTCCCCAAACCCACTGAGCACAGCTCTGGGACAGACACTTCGGTGCACACTGGAGACACAAGGCTGAAAGAGGCCCCTTATCCTCAGGGAGGTTTCATCCCAGCTAGGCCAAAATCGGTGCCTTAGCAGTCCTTGAGCGCTCAAGGTCGGCCCTCCATGGCAGGACACTTGCTCCCCTCCCCAGGCTCTATCCCTCAAGGAGTCCCAGTCCAGCCAGGCCCCTAAAGGCCTTTATGGGTTGTGTGCTACAAAAGGGGTCGTGGGGTCCACTAAAGTCCCCGGCAAGGTCGGGGTTAGAGGGAGGGCTGGGGGTGGCAGGAAGCGAGGGTGAGGGCCGCCCGCTGTCCCTTCCTCCCCTCCTCTGAAGCAGGCAGCGGTGCCCGGGGGTGCGGGCTCCAGCTCCCATACCTCTTCTCTAGGCTTCAAAACCCTACCGGGCAGAGAAGCGGGCGTCAAATGTTCTCCCTAGAATGAGGGGTTCCTTGTTGAAGTAGCCGGAGGATAGAAAACATGCAGCCCCACTCCGTAAGCTGAGGACACTGTAAAATAGCCGAGCCCGAGCACCAGCAATGGGGGTCCCAGCCCAGAGGCCCCGCCCTCCCGGAAGGGCTAACCCGTCTCTCAGGGCTAAGGAGACCGCAATTGGTGTCTCTTCATGCCAAGGCTGGTCGTAGGCCTTGGGAGGGTGGGAAGGAGGGGTGGGATGTAAAGAGAGGGTTCCAGGTCTTTTTACAGTGCCGAGGATGAGTTGTTTCACTAGGCCACCAGAAAGTGTTTGAAGGGACGCCGTCCCCAAAATAAGAGGGCGCCCAGGAAGCCAATGATTGTGTATGCATGCACGAGCCTCGAGCCTCCTCTGTTTTCCCGCCTTTTCCCAAGCTCACAACACTTCCTCCCCTGCCGCTCCTCCCTACCAGCGAGCCCACGACTCGGGCCTAGTACGCAGGTGCCGAGTGTTCTCCTTGCCCCTCCCCCCATTCTCCCGGGAAGAGAACGCAGAAAAAAGAACGGCGAGAAACAGAGAGCAATAAAGAGATCTAGGAGGTGGGGGTAGAGGGGCAGGGGATGGAGAAAGCGGGGCACCCTCCCCCAGCGGCAAGTAGGCAGAGCCACGCCTCCAGTGCTGGCGCCCCGCCCCGGCTTTGAATTGCCCGAGAACTTGGCCCGCCCCGCTGCCCCCCCCCCAACCCCGCGCCGGCGGAGGCTCAGCGGCGCCCCGCTCTCCCCTCCAGCGGCGGAGCCGGTTGGCGTTGTAGGGGATTGCTTCGTGGGAAGGTGAGTGGGAAAACATGGCTGAGAACCAACATGTGGTAAAATCGAGGCTTCAGTGCCAGGATGACCACCGTGGGACTCCCCACTAGTCCTGCCTGAAGGACGGTCTTCACCGCCTACGGGGTTGCATTTTTGTCTGTCGGGGATCCTCCGGTGCGTAGAGGGGGCGGGGCCCGCCCTTAGGCCCTGGCGGTTGAGGGCGGGGCCCGGCGGTGGAGTGAGGCTTGGATTGCTCTAGGGGGTGGGACCCATAGTGGAGCAAGCCCATGATTGGATGTTATTGGGGCCCGGCGTTGTGTAAGCAAGATTAGCCCTCGGGGTGAGGCATGGAGGCTGCAATTCGTCCCCTCGCGGGGCACTGAGAATTGATGGAGTCAGCCGCGGGAGCCGGGCCCGCCGGGGCCCCTGGGGGCCCGGCCTCGAAGGAGGACAAAGAGGGATCCAAGTGCCGCAGCCGCCGGCGGTGGCGAAAAGTCAAGGCCAAAGGTGAGCGCGTGGGGGTCGGCAAAAGCCCGGAAGGAACCTCGGACACCCAGCAGGGAACAGGGGAGCAAGTGGACCGACCCACCGCCTCGAGAAGTAGGGAAGTCCGTGGATTGGCCCGTTGCCGCCCTGAGGGAGGATGTGGGGATGCTGTGAGAGCGGAATATCCCCCCACCGTAGAGACTACCGGAAGCCCCACTACTGACTTGCGGGGAGAGTGCAGAATGCGAGTCTTCTGGACCAGCATTACCGCTCTGGCTCCGTACTTGCTGTGTGACCTTAGGCAACTCCTGCCTTTGCTGTTTCCCACCTGGGAAATGGTTCAAGCGCTGATCCTCCGGCCTCAGGCATTCTTGAGGGAATGATGAGGAAGAGGTTTATAGACTGTTGCCCAAAGAGGAAGTTTAGGGGTGAGTCAGAGAAAGGTAGGATGAAGGGGTGCCCCAGAGTGGGTAATGCCAGGGGGCCATTACAGCTCAAAACAAACCTGTGCTCCCGTCCTTCCTTCAGCCCATCCATCCATTCCCTGTCAGTCCACCTGTTTCAGCCCCACTCCACTGGCCCTAACTTCCCGAGCCCCACTCCTCCTAGGATTAGGGGTTCCTGTGTTGGCTTCCTTCCGCCACACCCTCCCTCAGGAGAAGGGAGGGCTGTCACGTTATTTACTGAAAGACTGGCAGTCCAACAGAGAGCCTCAGGCAGGGGCTGGCGTTAAGCCCTTGCTCAGTTTTGAACTTTTCTCAGTCCAGGTGAGGACCTGTGGGAAGTTCCTATGCAGAAAATAAGCTGACATAGACCCTAAGCGCCAGCAACCCCAAACGCATTGTTCTCCCTGCCACAGGCTGCACTGTACATTTCTGTCAAGGACAGAACTGGAATTGGCTCCAATGGACATGCAGGCTCAGACAGGCTCAGACTGGTGCCCAAGTGCATTCACTGTCACACGGCAAGAAGGCATCACAAGCCGGACAGAGTGCCCAGAGGCAGTACAGATGGTGGTTAAGTACCTGGGCATTGGAGATCTGGTTCCCGGGCTATGGGCAACAGGCTTCCTCCCCTGCCTCAACTTTGTGAGCTCTAAAATGGACATGATTAGAACACCTGACTCGTAGGGCTGCTGTGAGGTTTGAACGAATGCAATGTGTTTGGCACTGGCATACAGCAAGCCCTCAGGAGAGGAGGTCACCCCTCATGAGACAGCCAGCTCCCTAAGAGTGGGGCTGTAGCTGCCTCATTTACCCCACACTTCCAGAGCCTGCTATGCCAAGCACATAGGCATTCAAATATTTATTGAATTAATAAGTAAAGGAATGCATGATAACACTGGGACAATAATAAACATGCTGCTCTTAGGATTGTCATGAGGAGTCAGAATCCTCTTGGGCAGGGCTTCCTGCACAGGGCTGAGCCAGTCCTCACAAATCCATGGGCCTGCCTACTCACAAAGGCTCATTCCCCCAAGCTCCAAGATTTGCCTCATTTGCCCTGGTGCCAGGTCTCAGCTGGGTGAATCAGACCCCACCCCTGTCCCAAGGGCA